CCTTCAGCGGAACGTCCATTGCAATGCTGGTGCCAAACTAATAATGATAGGAACAAACTAACCTTTTTTACAGGCTTTTGGTTGGTGCCCTTTGTAGAACAAAAATGACTGCTGCTTCTTTAAGTCATGGGAGCTGACGTTTGCTGTGACAGCTTTCCAATTGTTAAATAAACTCTGACCATGAGTGGCTGTCAGGCAGATACTGCACTACAGGCTTCAGTGAAAAGGAGCACCAGACAAGCATTTCAGCGCCTAAAGGCTTATTTCATTTTTTAAAAGACGCATGTTTTTTAAAAACAATGAGTTAAAATGATTCCTTAACTGAAAAAAAAAAAAGTTGTATTTTAAACATTGTGCCAAATTTTCCCATGAAAGTTATAGCATGTGATTGTGTCCATTACTAGAAAAATAGTCTATGAGGAGCATGAAATATCTCCAGTGTACACTTATGTCTCGTGGCAAGATGGGAGAATTGAGATGCAGAAATACTGACATTAGACCTTATAAATAATACTAATGATGTTGTTTAAATTCTTGTAGGAAGGCAAGAGTAATTATACTGAGCTTTCTCAGAGTTGCAGAATGCCATTTTATCATTTGTACTTCTGATAGTAATCTAGAAAAACCCTTCCAAAGTTATTAGTTGTTATTACCCTGCTGTACTAGCAGTTGTACAGGAAAGTAAGAAAAGGACAGTTTCCACTACAGAGGGTCTAACAGGTTAAGATGAATATGCAAGAAAATTGTCATCTAAGGTAAATATACAGTCAGTAGTGGAAGAAGCATTATTCTTTGCATTTGAGTTACATCTGGGGAGGGAAATTGCCATTAAATTAGAATGAAGGTGGATTTTTTCCTATTCCAGTTTAGAAATTGTTGTTGTCTACCCTAACCTGCCTAGAAGTCAAGTGTGTAGCCTAGCTATGCTGGAGAACCTGGACGAGGAATCAAAGTTGGCCGAGGCTCCACTGGAGCCAGTGCAGGAGATGGGTAGTTCAGCTCGCCTGGCTGAGGATAGATTGCATCATCTCTGGAAGTGCCTTTTTCCAGTGCCTGAAGCAGCAGCCTAGTTCAATTGCAAATTAAAACAGAAAAAGAAAACAAAAACTAGTCTGGGTGACTAACTTCAAAAGGTTTGTACTAATAGTGTGGAGGCAGGAATTCTAGACGATATGTAAGAAGCATTTATTGAAAAATCAAGAATATTTTTTTCAAGCTAAAGAAAAAAGGATCCATATTTAATTTACAAGTAATACTAGTAATAAGTAATTCATATTTTTAAGGGTAACTTCTTCCAAAACTTCAAGTTTAACTAACTAATATATGTTCTCACCATTTCAGTTTTGTTTTAGGACAGAGAGGAATATATTCAGTAGATACACAAAGCAGTGGGAAATGAAAAAAGCCAATTTAAAAATCAATCCACTTTGATTTTTTCTATCAACTCCTCTTAGAAAGAACACCCAGAATTTTTGTAACTGAAATGGATCGTGAAAAAATCTCATTGTATTCAATTATTTATTTTATGCTTTTGAAAACACTTTAGGGTAATGGGTTTCACTTTTTCACCTTTCATATACCTCATTCTTTCACACAGAAAAATAGAAACCATTAAGAAATGGAAGATGACAGCATTTTTTTGTTTTCTGTATACTTGTGCTTATGAGTTGGTACTGTTCTTGCAGATACACATGATGGGCTTAAAGCCAAGGTAAACATAATACAGCATAAGAAGTGATTTTTAACAAACTGATTTCTATACAGAACTAAATGTTTGTATAATATAAAGGCTTTGGAGAGATTTAAACCAGCAAATTAAGTCATTTCACATTAGATTTTAGAAAGCAAAGTATAGAAGGGAAGGTTTGGGAGCATTAAAACAACGATGGAATCAATTGTAATAGGCCGTGAGAATGTGATTGATCCCTAAATCCCAGCACACATCCCTTTCATGTGGCCAGGTTAGAGATGCAGGATGTGAATGAGCACAGAAATAAGGCAGTAAGACTATTCTTGGTGATCCAGTGCAAAAGGAGAAAGCAAGTACAGACTGTTACTCTTCTGACCTGTCGCACCTATTAGCTGAATATTAGTGGATCCTCCGTGGAAAAGCATCAACACTAACCTGAAGGGATCTACTTGTTATCTGGCTTGGAGATAGGTAGCAAAGGGACTCAAAAGGTGCAGCAAACATTCCCCAAAGAATGGCAAAATAGCCTGAAGATGGGTCAAATCCCACAAAGTGTCAAGAAAAGTCTAGAGAAAGGGCTGCTCAGTTACAGTGGGTAAAAGGAGCCTTTGAACACCTGTTAAAAGATCATGTCTGTCTGGAGGGCTTTGTTTTGGAAGAGTTTACTGAGATGTTAAACCCCGCAGCAGAGTTCTGGTGGGGCACTGGAGGACAAACTCATGGAGTCTCCAGTCCTTTTACTCATTCTGCTACTGCTCCCAGACTTTCTCAGGATTTGTGAAGAGAGAGGGAAATATGTCAGGTTGAGAGGTAGGCCCATTTTGAGGTAAATCTTCTTTTCATGCCATGATATGGAGGGTGTACCTCTGGAAATGACACATCAGTAAGATTTCCCGTGAAGACTCAAGCCCTTATTCTAATACACACTCCTGTAGTTTCACATTAAAAGGCTCTGTTGCTGTTGAAGAGGTTTACTCTTTCTAATTTATTAGCAATTTATTAGTAATCAGCTGTAAGATGACTGAATTCTTAACAACTGTTCTGGGACCTATCAGTGCTTTTGAAGTGCCAATGGGTTTGTCCCAGTAAGCATTTTTTACGTTCCATGTTACACATCTTTTTTACAACCTAGACAATTTTCTGCACATCCTTTTTCCCATGGAGAGTCCTGTGAGTATTTTATGCAGTGGAACTCCTCCTGTCAAGACTTTAGAACTATTTTATTTAGAAGCATTGATTTTACAGTCTTAGGAAAGAATTTTGTAAAGCTTGGCCCAAATTAGAAAAAATACCTGCAAGCTAAAAAAATTGTTCATGGAAATCTAGATAATCATGACCTGTGTGAGAAGGTCTCCTCTTATGTTATTGGTTTGGCTTACATAGTTTTTCAATCAATGTAGTCTTCTTCCCATAGTTTTGGAATTATGACTCAGCATTTACCATCTGGACTAGAAGTCACTCTTCGTTGAGTGCACTGAGAAGATTTTAAAGGGTAGACAGTCTTCTGAAAGCTTCTAGCCCCCGGGAACTAGATAAACTAAAATTGCTCAGTGACGAATGAGAGTAGTGAAATAATCTCAGTGTAAAACTTTTTCATGAGTTGTTTTTTGGTTTTTTTTGGTTTTTTGTTTTTAATTCAGGGAGTTCTAAGATGTAATTTTTGTATGTCTGAAAAACATGGAATCCAATGAGGAAATAATGGAAGTGCTGTACAGAGTGAAATCAGTGTTCTTTATCCAAATATTTGAAAGAGAAAAATAAAGATATAACACAATAGAAAATAAGTGATATGACACAATAGATGACAGTGTCAAACAAGCCAGGCTGGAGAAAGGATGAAAACAATAATATCATGGGCAGAAGCTATGGTTGGTGAGAAACCATGGTTACAACTTGCTAGTTCAATTTCTGCTACAAATTGTTCATGACGGCCTCAAAGACGCTTTGAGCCAAACCTTCAGACAGTTCTTATTTAGTGTGTCAGTACATTCTGCTTGTTGGAAATGGAATTCAAATGGGATTCATGAGAGACACTGTATTGATTGGGGAGCGACCCATTATTGATTTAGAAGAGGGATTTGTCTTAAATGTGGCACTTTAGTAAAACCCAGTACCTTTCTGTTTAGATAATTCCCATTTCTATCTGAGCACATGTTACTTAGGGCTCCCAGAAGGTCCTCCATGTTAGATGTCACAGCCTTGAATCTTTTGTGTTTGAATGACTACTTGCTTTCTTCCAAAGCATAAGGAAGGATGCTTTAACAGAAGTAGCCAGGTTGCATCTCCATAATAGAGATTGTGACCTTTTAAGGTATTGATTGTGGCTTAACAAAATATGTATTAATCACCATGGAAAGAAGAAGTAAAATCAGTCTTCTATGTTCTTACTTTGTCTTCAAAATTTTCGTATTGCGGCAAAAATGGAGTCTCTCCTCTTCCTGTCTTTTCTATTTTCCTGCATAATCCAAGCAGTTGTTCCCTGGGTATCAGGTTAAGGCTAGGAAATGGCCAGGATAAATATACATATCTGCTGGTTTCAAACCAGAGAGGTGTGATAGTGACAGGGATGATACTGGTGGATGAAAAGCTTGACATGAGCCACCAGTGTGCTGTGCGCTTACAGCCCAGAAGGCCAACCGTATCCTGGGCTGCATCAAGAGGAGCATGGCCAACAGGTTGAGGGAGGGGATTCTGCCCCTCTGCTCCACTCTGTTGAGACCCCACCTAGAGTCCTGCATCCAGCTTTGGAGCCCTCAGCACAGGAAGGACCTGTTGGAGCGGGTCCAGAGGAAGCCACACAAATGATCAGAGGGCTGGAGCACCTCTGCTAGGAGGAAAGGCTGAGAGAGTTGGGGCTGTTCAGCCTGGAGAAGAGAAGGCTGCGGGGAGACCTTGTAGCAGCCTTTCAGTACCTGAAGGGGCCTACAGGAAAGATAGGGAAAAGATTTTCAGCAGGGCTTGTTGCGATAGGACAAGGAGTAGTGTCTTTAAACTAAGGGAGGGTGGATTTAGACTGGATATAAGGAAGAAATTCTTTACTATGAGGGCAGTGAGGCACTGGCACAGGTTACCCAGAAATGTGGTGGAGGCCCCATCCCTGGAAACATTCAAGGCCAGGTTGGACGGGGCTCTGAGCAACCAGGTCTAGTGGAATATGCCCCTGCTTACTGCAAGGGGGTTGGGCTAGATGACCTCTAAAGGTCCCTTCCAACCCAAAGCATTCTATGATTCTATCATTTTGTGATGATACAGTAGATGAATTGGAGATTACACTTTCTGGATGGGCAAGCGACATAACCTTCTTCTGAACATGGACCTCACTGGATTGGATGTGTACCGTGCCTGCTTTCCTGCTACGAAACGTGACATGGCACAGAAACATAAGAACTGTGTTGGATCCAGTGTGTTTCCAAAGAATCAGGTTTACCGGGCACAGGGAGCCGAGCATGCACAGCAGCAAATCGCTGCCTTTTCCCTGGTGAAGAACAGCAGCCAGGAGCAGGAACATGTTACCAAACCAGCTTATGTCACCTCTGCTGCCTGTCCTGCTGCTGCTGCCTTGGAGTGTCTGGAGAGGGGCTACAGGCTAGAAGCTTTATCCTGGTTTGTCAGCCTGCTCCCAGTTGCTGTTTTTCTCTGCTTGTGCCATCTGTTGGGAGAGGGACCTCAAGGCACGTTGTCCTGGCAGGCAGCGTACCAGCTCTGTTGCGGTGATCTTTGTAACAGCTAGTAATAGATATGACGGCATGCTTGGTTTACAGCTGGCTTAGTGTGGTGGCCACCACAGAAGACTGTATGAGAAGAACCAGGTCTTCAGGGCTGGATAGAGCCTCTTTTGAAAAAAAAAAAAAAAAAAAAAAAAAAAAAAAAAAAGAAAGAAAGAAAGAAAGAAGGTGAGTTAGGCTCTATTGCATTCAGAAACAGACCCTGGTACCTGTCAACAAAACTCAGCTACAGTGATACACTTGATGGTGAAGACAGTGTCTGTCCTGGCAAGCACCAGGCAAATTTCAGCTGATGAAAAGTAAAAGAGGAAAAAGCAAGTGGCTTAGATTTGAGTCAGCAAAAGAGAACACCATCAAGGTGTAGCTTAAATATTTTTGTCCATTCCAACCTTATTATTTTTTAGCAATCAAAGACAAGTCTTGTATATTTTGCATTCAATTTTATCAATGTATTTTGGCTTTTTGCCCTTGTGCTATATAACTGTATGCAAGTTCCATTTGCAAGTGATGTGATTGGATGTCTCTCTTTTCTTTTTGATTTCTGTAGGATAAAATCATGGGTAGATAAGATGCAAGAAGATCTTGTAACATTAGCACGAACTGCAAGCGGAGTGGACCAGCTTGCTGAGGTGAGTAAGAAGATGTGCCTTAGACTGCAATAACTGAAGTGAATGGTGTGCATCATCTAGGCATTATGATCATTTCATCCCAACATAGTAAAAAGATTTTGGGGAATTAAACTCTGCAGTGCTTACTGAGAGAGAAATGAATAACAGAGACATCCATCAATTCACTCTATTAATGTTGCAGCACTTGCTCATTGCTAATATTTAATCAGCTTTGCAGTATCAGACATAAGGCTTACCGTTATTGCAGCACATCCACCTGAAGGAAGCACTTCATGTTATATGTTTGTCAAATATGGTATCCAGGAAGCAACCATTCACGGCAGTGGAAAATTCTGCTCTCTGTTAACAAGGGAGACTGTTTTTCTGACATGTATTTCCTGAAATGAGGCAGCTTTTGGTTAGAACAAACGTAGCACAGAATGAAAACTACTTTTATTCAGCTGTTCCAATTTAACCCAAAGTGTGTTTGAAGGAAGAGTTTACAATTCTTCCATCATTGAGAAGAAACTTTTGTGCCATATTCCATCCATAGAAGGCAAAAAACCATCTGAAATTGCAGAAAAATGAAGTCACAATTCAGAAAATGTCATGATTACGGTGCCTATACAACTCTGTGTGTACACATTATGGTCCAGCATGAAACCACATGATCACAGATTTCCCTCCCTTTATCCCTGCACAAGTCCCATGGCTGCTCCTGTGAACCGATGGACCTCTGGGTTGATATACGACTGTATAATGAAGGGAAATTTTGCTGTTGCATCAGGAAAAGAAGTTATTCTGTCAGCCAACAAAAGCCCTTGGTGCTGGGGAACCGAATATTAAGCCATGAGATTTGGATTTCATTTTCCTAATCTCCCCAAATGATCCATGAAATGAATAGTAGCTATGTTTCAAAGCCATTAAGAAACACACAGAAGAATCGAGTGTGAAGTTTCTCAGATTTAATGCTGTATATTAATGTATTCCTTTGACCTTAATGACTTTTTACGCACACATCCATGTCTCATCTGAATCCTGTCCCAGAAGGACATTTTCTCTTTACTCAGTATAAGAGGGGACTAGATGACTAGCTCAGATGTCCACGTTTACACAGTGGAAGCTTCAGTCTAGCTGAGCTCACCACCGTCCTGTAGAAGGAAGGGCTGTGTCACTGCGTGGACTTGAGGAACATAAATGAAGATTGCAGAGATTATTTTAGTTCTGTCCTTTCCTAGTGTTAGAGTGCTTCATATTACAGCACAACTTAAGGCAGATGCTTTAGATGCGTTTTTTAATCTTGGAAAACCCCAAACAAACTTAAAACAAAATCTTAAAATTCTAACGCAAAGCATCAGATTGATACACACATGAGTTTTCAGCGTAGGATCTCAACAATGCAGAAATGTCTATCACACGAGCTTTCTGAGGAACTGTAAGGTTTACCCAGCATGGAACACTGATAGAAGGTTTTGTAGGTGGATTTCACACATGTCTGCTGACAGAGAACAATGAGGCTTGCGAATCAGGTCACTCTCTCCAGGTTTTGATGAGGAGTTTCTGCGAAGAGGAGGGACAGCCCATTTTGCTCATCTGATCTAGGTGTGATCTGTTCTCTTCTGCACTTGCCATCTCTCTTTTTCCCCCACTGTTTCCTCAATCAGGCCTCTACATATTCTATATTTCTGTCTCAGTTTCTGCCTTGGCTACCTGGCCAGTCTGCCTTTCTCCCTTACACTGGCTTCCTATCCCAATTTTAGGATCTCACTCCTCAGCTCTTTCCAGTTCAGCACCTCTAGACTCTTTATTTTGCCTTAGCACTTCCAGAATGTTCTGTCCAGGGGTGTGTGGCCAGCCTGTCTCAGTACTCCCATTGCATCTCTTCTCTTCCACAGATATTTTTCATCTCCCTTCTCACCTTTCCCTCCATCACTAGTTCTCAGTCCCAGACCTGTATTTTTCTCCTGTATGCTTTTTCTATTTCTCCTCCCCTTCCAGTCTCTTCTCTTCTTATTCTTTGCCTGCCATTTTCCAGTCTGTTATCTCCTGCGTCCATATCCCAATGTCTTGCCCTTTGGTCTTCATTCAGTTTTCATCTCCTCTTTCTCCCACTGCTCAGACCACAAAGGTGTAGAGATCACTTGAGAGCACAGCAAGTCTGAGCTTTAGCTGCAGAGGAGGTGTGACGTGCTCTAGGAGTGATGCTCTCTGGGTTGGAGTACACCTGTGTGTAGGTTCTCAGGGATTTAGCTGATAAAATCTCTGCAGTGATATGCAAGTGCTTTTTAGACTAAAATTCGTTAAACAGTAAGGAGTAAAAAGTGTATATTTGAATACGTGTTGAGTTTTTATTCTACAGTGTAGGTGCAATAGAGTATTTCAAAAGGAAATGAGTTACAGACGATTTCTAACTTGAGCAAAACAATGAGTTAATGTCTCAACCATTTCGCCTGGCATTTTCATGCAAAGACCACATAGTAAAATAGATAATGAAAAGCCAAGAGAATGACACTGTCACTGTTTTTTTTCCCCTGAGGAAAATGTTAGTTTATGTAGTTAATATTCGGCAAACTTAGAAGCTGCTGTAACAGTCTTCTAATGAGAACTGCTGGGCAAACATAATAATATATAGTGCTACCAGCTATACTTAAAGTATACCACAGTGACATTCACGCTGAAAAAAACATTGGTCTATGAATATTGTAGGTAAGTTTCTTTTTGAAAGTCAGACTTTATAGTGCACTTCAAGAAAATAAAAACGTTATCTCTGTAGTATCTACAAGGTGGTCAATACGTGCTTGTAATCCTAGGATTAAAAGTGTGAAAGGGGGATGTTTCCATATAAAATATCCCTCTATATCAAAGCCGTTTGTCTGACCTAAATTGCATGATGTCTTTCTAGCCACAAGGTTTTAATTAGCTCTCTTGCCTGCAAGGGAGAATGCAAGGCCCTGCGAGGTGTGAGCCATGCAGTCGCTCCCTCTTTCTTCTTGTTTACAGGCTATTCTCATTTTCCCGTTTTTGAATGACATCTTTTTTTTTTGTGCTTGCTGCCTATTAACATTTAGTCAGATCTTTTCTGAAATTAACTATAATCTTGGAAAAATGGAGACTACAGAACGTTAAAAACAGCATGCTTGCAGTCCTGTCACTTTCATTCACAGAACTTGCCTTCAGTTGCTCAAGCTTTAAAAATACATAAGTCAGACTGAATTTTCAGCATTGTTTCTGACTCATTACTTCTAACTCCACAATTGTTTAGACCAAGTCTGTAGTCTTCATGTTTTTAGAAAACTTCAAAAAAGGTATACCTTTGTTTGGTTTTTGTGCCCCTCCTCCCTCCAAAAGCAGAATGAGTAATACGAAAAAAGGAGCAGAGTGCTCCTATTAGGAAATAGTGGACATGACTTTCTGTGAACAGCTGTAGTACCAGAGTGCGCAGAGTTGGAAAGCTGTACTTTCATCAGACGGATTTTTGGTAGGAGAAATGTTATGGAATGTTTCCGTGTTCTAGGGAAAATCAGTTTTGATTTGGCCAAATGATGACGTTAAAGCTCATAGCAAGGATGTGTAACAGATTATAAGCATTTCACAGCCTGGTCAAATGCTCCCTGGACTCAGGGAAAGAAGTCCTACTGGTTCAGCTGAAGTCACAATCTGTGTGTGCTTCATACAATGAAGCCTTCTATGAATATCTCTAAAGTGACCCAGATAGCTCTCAAAGTAGTACAATTACTATGTTCTCAGCTGGAGTGAATGAGCTCTTAAAAACCCAGAGCTTTTTCAATTAGCTACTGTGCCGTAGAAGTTTATGGTGTTTCCATAACTTGTTGAAGGTATCTCAGCGTTCATCAGTGCTATGCGTACTTCTATGTGCATTGGATGTCTGTGGGTCTTTGTGCTGAAGGAAATTATACTCCACAATGTTTGTCTCTGGAGAATTGTGAAATATTTTCTTCTGTCCATCATGGAGAGGCAGAGGAGAGAATGTAAAACCTCAAGTATAATAGGTACTTCCAAAGGAATAAAAAAATTAAAATCTAAAACACCATTAAACTCAAGTGAGGGACTTGTCAGGTGAATAGCAGACCCAGTGAGTTTGGTACCTGTGTAAAAGTCTGGTATATTCAGCAGTGTGGACATAGATATCCAGGGAGAGCATTTTTTGTATTAAAGGTGTTTACATTCAACGTATACTCACTTTAATGGAATCATGTTTAAGGAGAGGAATCTCTTCAGAGGAGAATTCCCTTTCCTTTGTTCATTGACAAATTTCTTACAGTGACTTGAAATCACAGTCTTGTCCTAGTAGCTAACCACTCTTCCCCTTGCTTTTGAGCGTGTAATAGAGCCATTGTAAAACACTGCAACTTCCATTAATCGCAACTTTTCAAAATATCTGTATAGTGAGGATGCACGATAATATACTCATGAATATTCCACATAGTGTTAAAAATGAGAAAATATTTGGGAATTCATTTAGTGAATTACTTCAATAGTGACTATATTTCTGAAAATATGAATATGTTTATGCCAATGGACATTTCACACACCTTTTCTCTTATTAGCAATGATGACAGCAATATAATGCCTGTAGGAAGCAAAATTGCGACAGAAAGCTTGGTTGCCATTAAATTAGGAGTTCTACATTGAGGCTACACTTACTGTTAGCCTTAACCAAGCAAACCAGTACAGCTGGAGTAGCAGGAACAGAAAAAATGGATACATGTAGGAGATGGAGAGGCAGGCAAGAGCTGAGGTTTATTATGGTGCACAGCGGAAACATGATCTTTGATTTACAGATGTGCCTTTGCTCCCTAATTGATATTTGCCACACAGAGAGAATCCTGATCCAACCAGGAATTGAGCTCAGGTATTCGTTTTTCCATTTAGAGCTTTAACTCCAGGTCATTCTTCCTCTGAATTAGTTGTGGTAAATTACTAGTTTGGTGGTATGAATCAACACAAATACTAGTAACATCTAAATGTAAGTTCTGTTGTCAGTAAGATCAATTGTGTTT